CCGGCCGGAAGGAAAGGAGCAGACAAAAGTACAAACAGTGTCCAGTGGCAGTGGCTAAGGACCGAATCGCGTGAGGGTCATGGAGGCCGCCAGGCAGGCCGCCAGCCACGAGCCGCCGGCCGAGCCGCCAGCGCGCTGACCAAGTCGGTGACGAACGGCTGGCAATTACGCGCCGAACAATCACGGGCAATCGCGTTGCCGCGACAAGCGCACAGTGGGCCAGAAGACCGGTGGAGGCGGTCAAAATCCCGGACGCGTTTTGAGCTGCAGAGTCGCTAAATGGAACACGAACCGAACGTGTGACCCCACCAGTGGATTGCTCTTCGAACGAGGGCCCACTGTGCGTCCGACTTTTCCCCGTGCAGTCCCCGCGCAGCTGCAGCGGCGCAGAGACCGTCGCGTCGGATATTCCAGCCAGAGCCCCGCCCGCCGCCACCCTCAGCCGGTCCTTACTTATGCAGAATCGGCGCTGCGGCCGTCGTCGGCTGCAGGGCGGGTAAGGGGGTGGGGGAAAAAGGGGGGCGGGAGCGAAAAAATTGCAAAGTTTCCCTTTTCCTTTGAGCCACGTTATCGTTGGCACCATCGTTACCGCCGATCGCCGCCCCATCATCAGCATTTCCAGCGATGCACCCCGAGTCTCCGTCTCTCTCGCACACCGCCACGGCGCTAGAGAGAGAGAGAGAGAGAGACGCGCCCGAGCAACGGCCTCCGCCCAGGTGGTGCGTTTGTACAATTAGCGACTCGCGCTGAGAATAACCCCACAGAAAAGAAAGGAGGAGAGAGAAAAAGAGGTAGCCGAGGAAAAATAAAATATTTTTCTAAATGGAAGGTTTTGTAAAACAATGGGGCGACCTTTGGCGCCACCGCCGTCGGTCCCATTGTGGCCGCTCTAAGCGGAGCAGTGGCGCGGCGTGGCGTGGCGTGGCGTGCCACGCCCACGAAGGGGGCGTACCGCACCGCGCGGTGCCAGCACTTTTACTAACAGTCTGATTAATCTCCTGCCGAGCGCTTTGTAAGGGTCAATTACCGAAGAGGCAATGTTGCGAAAAGAATCCGGAATGAGGAAGCGGCGGCGCTGCGGATCCGACCCCCCTCCCCCTCCCCCTCCCCCCGCGGACCCTTGTGGCGAGTGCAGCGCAAACACCAAGGTGTGCAAGCACTTTGGCGGATAGCCTGGATAAGCGAACTCTTCTGGATCATGTCCAACACACGGCGGCGGCGCCACGGCGCGCCAGTCCCCCGCCAGACCGCCACGCCACTGTAATCGGCGGCCATCCCCTTCCTCCCCGCTTCCTTCCTGCTTCCGCCCCTCTCTTCACGGCGTCCTGGTGTCCGCCTTGTCCGCCCGGCCAAACGGCGATCCCCGGGACGAGCCGCAGTGGCCAGAAGACCGGTGGAGGAGGCCAAGACTCTAGACTCGCTTCGCTCGCTCACACCCCTGCGGGACGCCCCACGAGTGCGAGAGAGACAGAGCGCCGCTCGGAATCAGGCGGCTATGCCGCGCTGCCGCCGCAGACGGGAAGCCAAACCCCTCGCCGCCGAACAAGACGCGGGGCCGCGGCCTGGCGCGGCGGGCTTCGAGTTTTCCAGCGGCTGTCAATTCCACGACACTCCGCGCGGGACGCGGGACGCACGCGAGCGCCTGGCTCGGCCCCGCCCCGCTCCGCCGCCAAGCACCGCGAGTTCGCCAACTCGAGTCGCCTCGACTCGGCGCGACTCGGCGATACAAGCTTCTCTTTCCTTTCCGCGGCAAAACTTGCGCCGCATAAAGGCAGATAACATCGAGGAGCCGCGGAGCCCTGTGTGTTCCGCGACGACGCCACTGCCGAGGCACCGCCGCGACCTCATATAACTTTGCGCCCCTCCGCCCCCTCCTCACTGTAAAAAGCACCCGACCCACCTGGCCAACGAGGGCCTCGCGTGCCGCACACGCGACGAGGGGCAACCCTAGCCGACGACCGGCCGGACGGGTGGCCACCCTAGAGTCCGCCGCACCCGGTGGACCGCCGACGGCGCGATCCTGGCCAGTGCCAAGGGGGCGGGGCGCGCGGCGGTAACACCCAAGTTTAGCATCTTCCCGCGCCATCAGTTGGATTACGGCGCTGCCGGTGGCACTGCCATCGCACGGCCACAAAGGACGGCACCAGAGCCACGGCCTCGATGAGGGCGTGGCGGAGCGGCGGAAGGGTTTGCGCCAGAAAAGGCCGGCCCAGTCGATACGACTCGCTCACACACACGCACACACATAGACACACACTCACCTATACATATAGACACACACACGCACACACACACATACACCGGTGGCGTGTTAATACAAGGGACGTAAGGACGACGTACAAAGGGCGGCCGGCGCGCGCATTGCGGGGCGGGGCGGGGCGGGCGCACCGAGCCAGGGGGCGGAAAGTTCGATTATCTATAACAGGTCCATTACTGTCAAAACGGTTGCAAGGCTTAAATCAACAGCAATGCCCCCCCCCCCACAAGGGATGATGTTACCACCCCCCCCACCCCCTGCGCCGCCCCCCGCGCCTTAATCGCAGGTGCACGCTCCCATGCAGTTGCTCACCCCCCAGCGACAACCCCCCGGGGTCAGGGGGCGTGTGCCCCCGCGGGGGACCTCCGCACTTCGCCACGCACTGGGCTCACGCCGCCCCCGCCCCCGCACTTGGCGCCACGCACTAGCCTCACACCGCCCCCGCCGCCCCCACCGCCCCCGCGACAAATGAACACGCCGGCTGCAATCCACGGCCGGGAAATCCAAGCCCGCCGCCCCCCGCCCCCACCACTGGCCGCGGACAGCAGACGACGCGCCGCGTCCGCAACGCCGCGCCCTGCCCGGCAGCACTTCAACTTCAGTCGCCATCGTGTTCAATCATGCTCTTTTTTTTGCGTTTCCCTTTTTTTTCCCAGAATGAAGCAGGGGAAGGGAAGTCGTCAAGCCCTACACCACTGTGGGTGTCGGGCGGTCGAAAATACGACCGGATTATGCATGCAGTTTTGCATTTCGTTTCCCCAATTACTTTCCTCTTTTTTTTTCTTTTTCATCCGGCTGCCTAATGCCGGCAGCCCCGGCTGTGTCCCTTCGCTGCTCTGGAGCAGGGCGGAGCTGGGCGACGCCTGATTCCGAACACAGAGAGGTGTTGAAAGGTTGGTGCGTGAGTTACTGCCCAGCCCTGCTGCCTGCCAGCCCCGCCAGCCCCGCCGGGGCTCTTTGGGTCACATCGCACGCCCCCCTCCGCGACGCCATGGCGACGCCCACCACGCGCGGTCCATTCCCGAATTCTTCCATTCCGTGCCAGGGCCAGCCCGGGCCAGTCGCCCGATGTCGGGCAGGGCAGTGCTTTCGTCGCTGAGAGAGAGAGGGAGAGAGAGAGAGAGAGAGAGAGAGAGAGAGAGAGAGAGAGAGAGAGAGAGAGAGAGAGAGAGAGAGAGAGAGAGAGAGAGAGAGAGAGAGAGAGAGAGAGAGAGAGACAAGGAGCAGAAACCGGCAGGGCTGTCGACATACGTCATACCCAAACAAACGGCGGCTCGCGTTTCGGCTGGTCCGGCGCTCCGCGGCTCCGCCATCAAATTTGCCGAACAAGGTGTCGTGGCGCGGCGCGGCGCGGGACGCGGGCGTCGTATAAAATGATTAGAGCGCCACACAAATTAGACGGGCATAAACAAGAGCTCCGTTCCGCCGTACTTTAATCCGCCGAGTCGCGCCGGACGGCCGGGCGTAGGCAGGACAAAAACACACTGTACGTACCGAGAGCGTAAACCGCGGATCCGCCTTCCAGCAGACTGATTCCGCGAGTCGCGCTGTCTCTCTCACACTCCAGGGGCGTTCCCAATAGGTGCGAGAGAGACAGAGCGACGGGCTGCGCGCCGAGATTTGGCTCCGCCAAGTCTGCGCGGCGTCCCACGCAGAGCCACGCACGCCGATACTGTACAGCCATGTTTTTTTTTCCTTCCCAAGTTTTGGGCGTATCTCTCTCCTGGCGGTGCACTGTACAACTTGGAAGCGAACGCGCCGTGCTTTGATAGGCGTCAGGGGGCAGGAGCCCGGCAGGGCCGGGGGCGCAACGCTGACTCGGAGCAGATCCTCCTTGGCGCGGTCGCACCGAGACGCAGCGGTCCGTGAGTGCGAGAGAGACAGAGGCCCCGGAATCGCAGCGCAGGCGGGCGGGGCACCGGGGGGGTACGGACGGAGTCCCAAGCTTGGCGGCGAGGGGCCCGCGCCGACCGGGAGCCCCGCGCGGCCGCGTCCGAGACAGACCGCGGCGCCGCGAGCACGCCCCACGGCCAGGGCGACGTCGTCCTCCACGACGGCCACCTCGGACGCGCCCCGGGGCCCGCGGTCCGGACATAAATCTCGGCAGCAACAATTCCGAATAAAATATGCCGCTTATAAAGTGGGGAGGCGAGCCATTGCAGCCCACGGCAAATCAGCCCGAAAGGGGGAGGGGGCGCGGGGGGGTCTCAAACAAAACCGGGACGAAACAAAAAGCAAAACGGCTGCGGCGATATTTGAACCCGGTACAGAACACACGTCGTTCTGCAACACGGCTTTTGTTTTGCTCGACGCGCGCACGCACGCTCGCCAGGTGGTGCAACCCGTTCCCGGACAAAGCTGGTCGCCAAAACGCGCCCCCCGCCACTGTACCGGCCATCGCCTGGCGAATCCACGCGAGTTATAACACGGTGAGGTCCAAACTGTCTGTCTGTCTGTCTGTCTTCTCTGTCGCTCTCGCGGAGCGTCCTGAAGGAGTGGGAGAGAGACGGAGACAGGTTCGAGCCTGCAGGCCCGAGCCCGGCCGGCGCGACCTTGGCAGACGAATGCGGATTTCGGAATGGACCGCGGCATCGGCATGCACTCGGCGTGGACGGCGTGCAAGCGGACGTCGCCGCGACAGGCCCGCATACAAACGGCGCGCTCTGGCGGCGGCTAATTCAACTCACCCCGCCCAAGGACAACGCAGTGCAACGCTTTGTAAGAAAATGAAAAAGACACTTACCCCTGCCGTAGGACACATGCCGTCCAAGATGAGCCCGGAAATGTAGTTCATGTTGCGGTAGTTGCGGCTGCCGTTGAAGCACATGTGGATGTTCTCGTTGAACTTGGCCTCGATATCCTTGAGGCTGTACACGCACACGGCGGAGCGGGCCTGCGGCTCGGCCGTGATGGAGCGGCTGGGCGAGAAGACGCCGATCATGACGGGGTCGCCGGGCTCCAGGCCCATGCTGGCGGCCAGGTGCTGGCCGGCCGGCACCACCTTGGCGTCCTGGATGAGGTTGTAGACGGCGGTGACGGGCTTGCCGTCCTCCGTCCAGCGCGCGTCGCACTGCAGCGTCACCTCGGTGTAGCTGTCGTAGTTGGCGTCCGTGATGCACGTCCGCGCCAGGCGCGTCACGAAGCCCAGCTCCTCCTGCTCGGGCAGGTGCGACTGCTTCTGCACCAGCACGAAGTAGGCGTAGTCGGACGCGTTGAAGCCGTAGACGTAGTTGACGAGGAAGTGGTCCCGGTACTTGACCTCGATCTGCAGCGAGCTCTGCTTGGAGAAGGACAGCTCGGCGAAGTCCAGGTTGTGCAGGCGGCGCGAGGAGATGGCGGGCACGTCGTGGCGGTACTCGCCGTTGTTGGTGAAGGTGGTGCCGACGTACAGCACGTTGGACGTGCCCCAGTTGTTGTAGCGCTCCGGGCCGATGAAGGCGTACGTCGACGAGTGCTCGTCGTTGGCGGCGATGGCGCGCGCGAAGAACTCCGGCGCGTGCGAGATGTTGCTGGCGCTGTACTTCTCGCACGAGCCCTGCGACAGCGACCCGCACACGATGAGGTAGCGCGACTCCGGGTCCAGCACCAGCACCTTGTTGACGTTGTCCGTGAGCACGGTGGCGATGTCCGAGGACGAGCAGCCCGACGCGTGGCACGCGGGCGAGTCGGGCTTGGGGCCGGTGACGACGGTGGCGAGCGGTCGCAGGCTCGAGTCCAGCTGGAACAGGCGGTTCACGCCGCCCACCACGAGCCGCCCCGTCACCCTGTCCAGCACCATGTGCGTCAACCGGATGGCCGTGCCGTTGGCGTCCTCCGCGGCGGCCGCCGAGGCCGGGAACTGGCCTAGGATGTGGTGCAGGCCGCCGCCGGGGCTCTGCTGTCCGGGACCCTGGCCGGGGGCGGTGAGCGGCGCGGGCGGCCCCGCCCCCGCCAGCGCGACCAGCCCGAGCAGGCACAGGAGTGCCATGTCCCAGGCCTGCCAGGCCGTTGGCCAGGCCCTCCAGGCTCGCCCGCCCCCGGCGCTGCCCCCGGCGTAGCCCTGCGTCATGGCTGTGGGGCTAGGGGCGCGCCGTCGGGGCCGAGCGCGGGGCTCTACCAACTCGGAAGCTCCGCCATCCTCCCTGCAACAGAAAGGGAAAAACACCGCAAATTAAAAACCCGAAAAATTTCTGTCTCCTTCCCGCTGTAATTTTCATTTACGTTTCGGCGGTCGGTCAACATTGACCCTTGCCCCGCCCCGTCCTCAAGTGGCGCGGCCCGCCAGGCCACCAGGGGGGCTTCCCTCATTTGCGGCTTTTTGCAGCCAATTAAAAACGTAAGCCGGTCGCCAAACAAATTACAGCCCCACAATGCACTCAATAATTCAAATTAAGTTTGAAATGACGCTGGCCGCCCGCCGCCAGGTGAGGGGGGCCGGCTGGGGGGAAGGGAGGGCAAAGCTAATAATGGAAATTATTCCAGGCGGGCAGCCGCCGCGGGCGGAAAGAATCAAGAGGCTAATTCGATAAACGAACGCAAATTGGCCGCAGGGCAGCATTTTTACAGCGGCGGAGTGTATTCGTCGCGCGGCCCGGCGTGGCGTGGCGTGGCGGGGCGCTGCCCGACGCGGCGCTCCAGCAGAAGACGCGCCGCGCGTCGCCATAAAATTTCATTTACTTGGCAGTAATTTGGGGGCGAGGCTGCGCAGCTAGCACCGCCAGCGCCGCCGAGGCCGGGGACGCGGCGCGACGCGGTGCGACGCGGTGCCAGACGTGTGCACAGTGCAGGCCCTCCCTGCCGCCTGCCTTCCGCGCCTTCCGCTGATGAGGTAACCTCGTTACCATTACTCTGCATCCCGAACAAGATGCACCCGCCGACCTGGCCCTGGCGGCGACAAGGCGCGGCGCGCACAGTGGGCCAGTGGACCGGCGCAACATGGTAGCGCCGTGGTTAGAGTGCTGCGTTACCGACTGGCAGGTCTCGGGTTCGAGACTAGTACCATGACCATATTTTTCGGCAGAGGCAACCAACTTCTTGACGAGGTCTATCCGGAGAGGATTGAGTACCAGCGCTGGCAGTGCGGGCACCATGATCCTCCGGTAGCTCAGTGGTTAAGAGCACGTTGTGGCAAGCGGCAGGTACCGGGTTCGGGACCGGTAGTGTACACAATTTTTTCGGCGACCAATTGCTTGGGGAGGTATATCCAGAGAAGATTGGGTACCGGCGCTGGCAGAGCGGGTGTCATGGCGTCCCGGTAGCTCAGTGGTTAAGAGCACGTTGTGGCAAGCGGCAGGTCCCGGGTTCGGGACCGGTAGTATCCACAATTTTTTCGGCGACCAATTGCTTGGGGAGGTATATCCAGAGAAGATTGGGTACCGGCGCTGGCAGTGCGGGTGCCATGGCGTCCCGGTGGCTCAGTGGTTAAGAGCGTGATGTGGGAAGCGGCAGGTCCCGGGTTCGGGACCGGTAGTATACACAATTTTTTCGGCGACCAATTGCTTGGGGAGGTATATCCAGAGAAGATTGAGTACCAGCGCAGGCAGGGCGGGGACCATGGCGTCCCGGTGGCTCAGTGGTTAAGAGCATGATGTGGGAAGCGGCAGGTCCCGGGTTCGAGACCACTCAAAGTACCCTTTTTTCGGGACCAGATTTCTCGAACGGCAGCTCAAGAGGAGTTGCGACATCGCCGCTCACAAGCTGGTTCGGTGGCTGAGCGGTCAGGGTAGAGGAGTTGACTAGACTCGGCTCTCGGGGTCGCGGGTTCAAATACCCAATGTGACCCCTCTGAGGTAAGGCCTCTGAATCTGGACTCTCACTGTACCACAGAAACCGCGCGCACTTCGGGTGGGCCAGCCTAATACGAACCCACTAATCTGTCGAATTGCGCGGCAGGGAGCGTCGGATGAAGGCCCGGTTCCCATAAGAACACCGAAGCTGATCGGCGGGTCTCCTTGAGACTTTCGTATTGCCACTTTTTGCCGCCGATTTTTTCGTTTTTTTGTTGAATATTTTAATTTAATTTTTTTATTAGGTAGGCGAACTATAGGTAGGCGAAAAATGGCAATATTTTATTGAATAGTTTTATTCAATATTTTTATTAGGTAGGCGAAATATAGGTAGGCGAAATAGACAGGTAGGCGAACATTTAGGTAGGAGAAATGAACAACTCCCGCTAAACAGGACTATACCCAAACGTGTGACCCCATCAATGGATTCCTCGTTCAGAGAGCAATCCATTGGTGGGGTCACACGTTCGGTTCGAGTCCCGTTTAGCGACTCTGGCGCTCAAAACGCGTCCGGGATTTTGACCGCCTTCACCGGTCTTCTGACCCACTGTGCGGCGGTGACAAGGCGCCCGACACGCCCTTCTCCGAAAACAAACGCCGCCAATTCGCGCGGAAAATCTGTCCGTCCCGACGCGACAAATCGGCCCGGAAACTAATTTCCATTTTCCGGACCGGATTTTCCTCCTTACTGTTTTTTTCCTCTCTCTCTTTCTCGCTCTCTTTCGGGCCCTACTTCGTCGCCGTCTCCACCCCCGGCCGGCCCTGCAGGGGCGTTCCACGGCCTGCTGGGGTGGCGAGGCCGGTGACATTCTCCGAGCGGGGGCGGGGCGTGGCGTGGCGTGGCGGGGCGGGGCGGGGCGGGGCGGGGCGGAGTACATCCTGTCCGTCACGGAGGGGCCCAGCGTGCTGCTGCTGTGTCCCCGCCACTTCCTTCCTGGGCCGCAAGATGTGCGTGCATGCGTGCGTGCGTGTGTGTCTGTGTGTGTGTGTCTGTGTGCGTGTCTGTGTGGGCGCGCTCTGCACGTGCCCTGCAACTGCTGCGGCGCTGCGGTGCTGCGGCCGGTGCGGCATTCCTCGCGAGCCAGTGGCGTGCCTCGCGACCCTGCCGACCATCCCCTGGCCGCGGCCGGGGCAGGGGCCGTGGCAGGGGCCGCCCTCTAGGCCAGCCAGGCCGCGATCTGGCCAGCCCCGAGACCTGCAGCAACACCCTGGCCGGACCGCAACGACCAACACAGATTCGCCGTGAATGGAGCGGGGGAGGGGTAGCTACGGCGGGTAACCAGAGTTATGCCCGGGGGAAGTTCCGCGTTCTATTGGTGCTCCTTTTCGGCGGTGCTTTTTTTCTCGCGCCGCTTGCCGCACACACAGACCACGGCGCCGCTAAACGCCGCGCCGCCCTGTCTCCATATAATACTTTCGACAATAGCATTACGGCCCCGCCGGCCCGGCACTCAGTCCGTCTCGCTCGCACCAAGGGAGGCGCCGGGCCGGGCCGGGCGAGGGTGAAGCAATGCGCCGCCGTCGTCCTCCCGTCGCCATGGCGACGCAGGCCGCGTCTCCCCCAGCACCCTTTCCATTCTTCTCGCCCCAACACAAACACGCCCACAGGCACACGCACACCAAACACGCCACACCTACGCGCCCCGCGGCCCTGCGGCCCAGCGGGGTCGCACTAATGCACTCCAGGCTCTGCCATTTCACGAAGATGGAATCCGCGAATAAAGAACGGGAGGCCGGCCGGACGGCCACTGCCCTCGCGCACCCACACTGCGAAATGGGGGAAAGGTGCTGAGGCAGCGGCCGGCCTGGGCGGCCCTAGGCCACGGCGACGGCGCTCTCCGCAGCGCTCTCCAGTGCCCTTCCAGCGCCTCTCTCCAGCCGGACGTCCACGGGGAAGGGTGCACTATTGGATATTTCTGCCGTCAGCAAAGACCTGCTGCCCCCGGCCTCGGCGATAGCGCGCGGGGGAGAAATGCACCTGAATCCTCCCCCCTCCCCTCCCCCAAACGGACAACCCCCCCACCTGCAGGCGCCCAGCTGCCTCCAAGTTGGCCGGCACGCTGCCCAAGTTTGCCAATATCAGCACGCACAAGTAACCACCTGCCACCGCCACCGCAGCCGAAATATGTGATGACCGCTCCGCTCCGCTTCGCTCCCCGCTGGGCCGTGCGGGGCCGTGCAGGGCTGGGCGAACGGCGGCCGGCCCCGCTGCCGCGCAAGCGATTTCCGAACAACTTGACCCTTTTCCTTCCCTCCGTGACGTCCGGGGCCCCGGCACTACCGCGGCACTACCCCGGCGCTGCCTCGGCCATGTCGCCGAGGAAGTTGGCGATTCCTTTTGTAGAAGCGACGGGGGTCCGGGACCGTCCGACAGGGGTGGAGGCGAGGGGGCACCGCATTCAAAAGTCATGGACACTACCTCAGCCTTTTCCTTTCTTTGGCGCAGAGGGCCAATCCTGTCACACGCCCTTCCTTTCGGGACACACACGCAAACGCGCGCGCGCACACACACACACACACACACACACGCACACACACACACACAGACACACAGTCCGCGTCCCCGCCGAGTTCGCAGGGGGCGGCGACCGGCGGCGGGGACCGCACGAAACGCCCTCACACACGCATCCACCACGGCGGGGCACGCACCCCCACGGCCCCCACCCCCTCGACGGACTTTACAAAAGTATTCGCGGCCAACTCCCTTGCTTGCCGGCCAGCCGGACTCGTCGGAATTGAATCCCGGAATTCGTTTCGGATAGGAGTCGGCGTGGGGCGCGGCGGGGTGGGGCGGGGTGGGGCGGAGCAGAGCACCCCGCAGTGACCCCACCGCGACCCCACCGCACCGCCAAATCGCTGCAGGCCAAGTCGGCGTCGCTGCCACGGCACTGCCACGCCACTGCCACGGCCGTGACATGACGGCGCGGCTAACAAACCGCACCAGAAGCCGGCAGACTCGGCAGAGGGACCCCGTCGGCCCCATCGTCCCATCCCCGGGCACGAAATGGCCCCCTTCCGGGCGAACCCTACCCTCGGCCTGCTCGGCCTCGACGTGCGCCATCTTGCAGCGCCGAACCTCGTTAGACCAGCACC